GCGGTCTGCTTGAAACATGTTGGTATTACAGACTCAGTCAGGGACATGTTGAAAATGTCAGTGAAGACACTTGCTAGTTGGTCAGCGCATGCTCGGACTACACGTCCTGGTAATCTGTCTGTGAATGTTGACCTGCTTAAAAGTCTTACTCACATCGGCTACGGAGAGCGTGATCACATAGTTATCCGGAACAGCTGATGCGTTCATGTATGCTTCAGTGATTTAGCTCGTCTGGTAGGCTTGTGTCACTGGGCAGCTCGCGGCTCTGCTTCCCTTTGTAGTCTGTAATAGTTTTCAAGCCCTGCCACATCCGACGAGCATCAGAGCCGGTGTAGTATGATTCAATCTTAGTCCTGTATTGACTCTTTGCCTGGTTGATGGTTCGTCGGAGGGCATAGCGAGATTTCTTATAAGTGTCCGGGTTAGAGTCCCGCTCCTTGAAAGCGGCAGCTCTACCCTTTAGCTCAGTGCGGATGTTGCCTGCAATCCATGGCTTCTGGTTGGGGTATGTACGTACGGTCACTGTGGGGACGACGTCATCGATGCACTTATTGATGAAGCCAGTGACTGATGTGGCGTACGACTCAATGCTATCAGAAGAATCCCGGAACATATTCCAGTCTGTGCTAGCAAAACAGTCCTGTAGCTTAGCATCTGCGTCATCTGACCACTTCCTTATTAACCGAGTCACTGGTGCTTCCTGCTTTAGTCTTTGCTTACAAGCAGGAATCAGGAGGATAGAGTTATGGTCAGATTTGACAAATGGAGGGCGAAGGTGAGCTTTGTACACGTCTCTGTGTGTGGAGTAAAGGTGGCTTAGAGTTTTTTTTCCTCTGGTTGCACATTTAACATTATGTAGAACGGATTTGTTTCCCTGCATTAAAGTCCCCGGCCACTAGGAGCGCTGCCTCTGGATGAGCGTTTTCCTGTTTACTTATGGCCTTATACAGCTCATTGAGTGCAATCTTAGTGCCAGCATCGGTTTGTGGTGGTAAATAGACAGCTACGAAAGATATATATGAAAACTCTCTTGGTAAATAGTGTGGTCTACAGCTTATCATGAGATACTCTACCTCAGGCGAGCAAAACCTCGAGACTTCCTTAGTATTAGATTTTATGCACCAGCTGTTGTTTACAAATATACACAGACCACCACCCCTTGTCTTACCGGAGTCAGCCATTCTATCCTGCTGATGTAGCGTATATCCCGTCAGCTGTATGTTATCCATGTCGTCGTTCAGCCACGACTCGGTGAAACATAAGATATTACAGAGTCACTGGCTTACTGGTGCTTTCCATGCCGTCCCTAGGAGGGGTGCGTCACTTGAGTGGGTTGAGTCACTGACGTGATCTTCCTGTTCAGTTTGTCGCCCCCTCAGGCTTGTGCAGTGGAGGAGATCTTCGTGGGCTATACTCAGCCTTGTCTCAGGGTAGTAGGTTGGTGGTCTGTTGATATCCCTCTGGTGGTGTGGGGGCTGTGCTTTGGCAAAGTGGGTGGGGTTATATCCTGCCTGGTTGGCCCTGTCCGGGGGTATCGTCGGACGGGGCCACAGTGTCTCCCGACCCACCCTGTCTCAGCCTCCAGTATCTGCTGCAATAGTCTATGTGGCAGGGGGCTAGGGTCAGTCTGTTATATCTGGTGTTATTCTCCTGTCTTATCTGGTGTGCTGTGTACATTTAAGTATGCTCCCTCTAATTATCTCTCTCTCCCTCTCTCCCTCCCGGAGGACCTGAGCCCTAGGACCATTCCTCAGGACTACCTGGCCTGATGACTCCTTGCTGTCCCCAGTCCACCTGGTCGTGCTGCTGTTCCAGTTTCAACTCTTCTGCCTGCGGCTATGGAACCCTGACCTGTTCACTGGACGTGCTACCTTGTCCCAGACCTGCTGTTTTAAACTCTCTCTCTCTATCGCACCTGCTATTTCAACCTCTAAATGCCCAGCTATGAAAAGCCAAGTGACATTTACTCCTGATGTACTGACCTGTTGCAACCTCTACAACCACTGTGATTATTATTTGACCCTGCTGGTCATCTATGAACGTTTGAACATCTTGGAGAAAAATCTGGCTTTAATGGCCATGTACTGTTATAATCTCCACCCGGCACAGCCAGAAGGGGACTGGCCACCCTTCAGAGCCTGGTTCCTCTCTAGGTTTCTTCCTAGGTTTCTGCCTTTCTAGGGAGTTTTTCCTAGCCACCATGCTTCTACATCTGCATTGCTTGCTGTTTGGGGTTTTAGGCTGGGTTTCTGTATAGCACTTTGTGACATCTGATCATGTAAAAAGGGCTTTACAAATACATTTGATTGATTGATTGAATACTTGCTCACTCATATAGGAGTGCACTTCCTGTAAAACACAAAGGGCCAGTGGTGTAGTGGAGGGTATACGTAGGTATAAACCGTAAACCCACTTTTCTTTCACTGGGCATTGCGTATACTCACTTCTTAATCCCTACTGATGCGTATCAAAGTAGTGTAGTGGAGGTATACGACTTATTAATTATGTAGTACAATAGAGAAATCATGCACAAAGTCGCCTACACAATCGCAAAGTACATTAAATATATTAAAATGCGCGCCGCACACATAGCCTAGTTCTAGCGCAATATCATCTGCAGGCAGCAAGAGTGTGCAGCTCTCAAATGGTTTTGGCCTGGAGCAGCTCACAGAAGAATGACATCGGTAGCCGGTAGACGTTTCAACATATGATATCTACCAGTAAATGCGAACTAAGGCAACAATGGGTATGCAAACCAGGTATTGAAAAAGTTTAGTCCAAAGTGTTGGTTAGTAGGCGATTTGTGATGCGCAATTGTCATCATGTGCTGTTTGCATCAGGGGCGTAGACATGGATGGGCCTGGGTGGACAGAGGCCCACCCAATCAGATTGACGTGGTTTAAGCATTGTTGTGGACAGACCATCCATTTTTTGTATTTTTTTATATTTAAAAAAGGTGTGATTTTGAGAGTGACAATCTGAAAAGTCTACAGGAAAACTCATTAAAAAAACATAGGAAAACAGGATTTTTCACACAGGGTCCCTTTCCTTCACTGGGCGGGCCATTTGGGAACTTTTTGGCATAATTAGAGTATACCCACAGGCACCACTACACCACTGCATAGGGCCGATGGAAAGACAGCAGTCACACACAGCATGATGTTAAAGGATAAGCAGTCCATAAACTCGGACATAATAAGCCAGTAGGTCCCATATATAAGAATACAAAAACACAACCATTAAGCATTTCCCTATCGAGATGTACCACTATTACTTCCCATTGCAAAAAGCATTTCACGTTTAGCACACAAAGTAACTAGTGACCTAAAGTTTAAAGTGGAACTGACAGCGTTTTATCTACTTTGCAGATTTGAAACAAACAAACAATCATAATATCAGTAAAAAATATAAAATTCCTAGTTTATTCTACAAAACCAACTTTATAAGAGGTTTTAAAAATAGGTTAAATTTGACTCAACATTCCATGGCGTACACTAAGGCATTGTTGGCAGAATAGATGGATGCAGTTCAATGCATGATTCATATAATTCACCAATACATTTCTTGGTAGTCCAAAAAATATTGCTATCAGGTTGTAAATCACAGCTGGCCTGGTACATTGTTTGCTGCCTCCATTCGGGATGCACTGTTTCAGTTTCAATGACTCAATATTCTGGACAAAAACGGACAAATATAACTAACGCTGGGAATGTCAATACAATCAAACTAGCAAGGGCAATGATCACAAGTCAGTCATAACGTGGCTAATAGGCTAGCATATCTATTTATGTAGCAAGCTATAAACACGGAGCCTAACGTTAGCTAGATAGCTAGCTAGATGTCATGCCATGCCATTGGAGGAGTGTGTGAGTGACTGACTTTTCCCCCTCATATCATTTTTCGGTGGCTATACACAGCTAGAGATGCAGGTGTCATTTGGTTAGCTGTGTCGAGGCACAGATCTGGTCTTGAATTGGACACACATTTTTCTGGTCTCGTTCTTGACTTGGTCTCGGATCCCTTGTCCCCCTCCCGGTCTCGGTCTTGACTCGGTCTCGCCCCCCCTCCTGTCTTGGTCTTGACTCAGACTCGCTTTAGGTGGTCTCGAACACAACACTGCTCTGACCCTTACCTATATCTACTTACAATATCTACCTCAATTACCTCGTACCCCTGCACATCGACTCGGTACTGGTACCCTGAGTATATAGCCAAGTTATCATTACTCATTGTGTATTTATTCCTCCTGTTATAATTGTTTCTATATGTTTCTCTCTGCATTGTTAGGAAGGGCCCATAAGTAAGCATTTCACTGTTAGTCTACACCTGTTGTTTACGAAGCATGTGACAAATAACGTTATTTTATTTTGATTTGACTGATTGTAAGATACATTCATAAATGTTGTCTATGTCGATGTGCTGACAGTTATTTACTGGCACCCAATTAGACCTTTGTCAAAGACAGTACAGTATGAAGATAGGCTAAAACTGCTTCTCCAATAGAAATCCCCAATCACACTTGTAGGTGATGTCATGGCGACGTTGGCTAGCTAAGCTCATGCGTAGAAACACGTAATTGGGTCTAACAGTCGTCTTGCATCGAACTGTGCATGTGCAAGCCGTCAAATCAAAGGCACTCCTTCGATATAAAGTTGTTTTTCACGAAAATGAAAACGTGTCAGTTTGTCACTTTCACGAAGTTGGAGTTATAACATGTTCAACTACTTAAGACATTGGCTCGAATCTAGGTTGTGCCTTTAGATTTCGAGAAAATGAACAACTAAGGAAGAATTTTTCAATTTTCTCATTGACTTCTCAAACCCCAAACCCTGGCCTGGTCTGCTTGGTCTTTCGCAAACGTTCCTGGAAGTCTCGCGATGTTGCGCCTCTGGGTTTAGAAACTCTGTGCTTTAGTAACTAGCCTATTTGGCCCAAATAACTGCATAATTGAGAGTACACACCCTCTTATCCATGTGGTGCAGATAGCTGTCGATGACATCTCATGGCTCATTGGGGACGTGGGTGGCTCTGTGCTGCTCTAAGATCTCAGACATGAGTTGAATTGTGTGGTAGTCCTTTAGAGGTCTCTGGAAGGGCAAAAGCAGACTCCTCAGCAGTGTCATGGTGTCATATGTCTGCAGAGAGTTAGACAAATCATCACTATTATTATTAATAAAATATTGTATCAGTAACTTCAATCACAGGTAGCTTGATAAAAAGAGGAGTCAGAGTAAATTATTTCATAGTTTAAAAATACATAGAATGTATTCTTGTTTCTTTGGATCAAAATCCTTTGTTGAATCCATAATGAAGAACACAGAAGTCGTATTCATACCATACCCCAGGGTCCATTGGCCATGATTGTGATCATGGTCTGGAAGAAAGCATGGTGGTAATCATTCTAGATTATGTTTATTAAGAATATAAGTAATAACATCTCTTGTCCAGCAATGCAGTGGCATATGATATCTCCTCCAGAATCCTCTCCTCCATGGACTGCTTTCCCAGACCAAAGTTTCTCAGGGACATCAGGGCAAAGCGACGGTGATCTCTCCAGCTAGGTCCATAATCCTTCATGCAAATACTGATATTGTGCATTGTTTATACAGTGTCATATCAATATAAAGATATATAGATAGGTAGGTAGGTAGGTAGGTAGGTAGGTAGGTAGGTAGGTAGGTAGGTAGGTAGGTAGGTACTTTATTAATCCAGAGGAGAAACTTAATATTGTGTATTGCATGTCTATGAAAAAGTAAATAACCTTTTCCATTTGAGTCGCCTAGTTGAGACAATCCTATCATGGGGTGCATCCTAATTGATTGTTTCCTGAGCTTGAACCCTTAACTAAAGCTGCATGGTTTTAGTTACATAAAAATTATCTAGGTGAGATCATTAGTTGGGCTAATACCTTTGCCTCGTGTGAGGTGGCTGAGTAGGAGTCCATTGGGTTGTCCCGCAAAGTCTACAGCCTTCGTCACCAATGCTTCCCTCATAGCCTGTGTTCCATTGATGATCACAACTGGCCTGCCTCCGAAGTAAAGGCTTCCCATAGCGTGCTGACAGCTGTTTCAATGAAAAACGTGAAAAGATGTGAAAGATTATTAGAAGAACTCTGATGTTTCTTTGCTTGTTTCTTCGTTTGTTATAGATGTCTCTGAGGGGTTGCTGGCTTGCTCCAATTATCTTTCCATTGATGTTTATTACACTGTTAAATGGGTTCTGATTCATATTCCCTAAAGCACCAAACCACCCGACAATGTAAAAATTAAAAAAACATCTACACACATGTTGATGTGAATAAGTTGGTTGTTCTTTGCATATTCAAGGCATCAATTGCACAACATCCTGTCCTCAGATTAATAAGATAATTTTATTTACTAGACAAATATCACCAACAGCAGAACCATATAGCTTTTTACTTGACCCTTTCCAAATCATCAATGGGATTTTCCAGGTTCAGCTGCTAAATATTTCCAAATATTGGGATGGGTTGTGGACCAGGGGGGAAGTTTTTGGCCCTGTGATTCCTGAGGAGGTATAAGAGCAGGCAGATGCCGAGCCAAAGCAGAATAAAGGTGCCCAGCATGATGACTGTTGTCCCACTGCACTCTGCTCCCAGCTACATAACCACTACAGCACAGTCATTGTCATGTGACCCCTTCTCATGACACTTAATTGGTTGTAGAAAAAAATGTGTTGCTCTAAGACCCTGTCCTCTCCCTAAACACACATGGAAACACAGCAGGTAATACTAGAGAAGTGCATAGACTAGGCCTGTTTGTGACTTGAAGTTCACTGTTTGTTATTGTAATTGTATGTGGTGAATAGTGTAATAGTGGTCTAAAATGGGGTTATGCATAGACATGCTTTTCATTTTCTCTATCAGCAATCAATAGATAAATACACTTCCAGGGTACTTTCAGAGTAGTAATTACTAGTAAAATACTAGTAATCTTTCAACTCAATACATAATCTCCTTACAACACCTATATGATAGGGAGATCAACTTAATTGGCACCCCTAATAAAGATGAGCAACAAAGACTATAAAATAAAGAAATACAAATACTGAGCTATATTGTAAGCTAAAATATATATATACAATTGCTCAGAGAAAAATATTTTGTTTAACAAGTAATAAAACAAAATCTAAAAAAGATAAGTGTCAAAATTATTGGCACCCATAAAGATTCTTATGAGTAAAATTAAACCAAATAAAATCAGCAATAACGTTCTACTTTTTAAAATTAATCTCAGCTTAAGAAACTGTATTGTGGCCTTCCATGGCTTCCTGTTTCACTGGGGTATAAAAATGAGGTAACGCATGTAAAAATCATTGGTCATCCATCACCATGGGGAAAGGCAAATAACTCACAAATGAACAAAGATGAATGGTTGTTGACCTTCATAAATCCAACAATGGGTACAAAAACATTATACAAAAATGTATATACATTTTACCACTATTAGGGCAATAATTAAGAAGTTTACCACTGGAACAGTGGTAATCCTGCTGGAAAAGGACGCATGTGTATCTTGTCCCCACGCACACTAAACAGTGAGGTAGATGGTTCAGGAGGCAAAGGAAATTCCAAGGGAACTGGGAATTGCAGAACTGGGTATCATCTTGAGGTCACCAAGTCTCCAAATCTACAATTCGACGCCACCTCCATGCCAATAGGCTCTTTGAAAAGGGTTGCCTGAAAATAAGCCTTTATTAAGAGCAACTAATAATGGTCAGATGAGACGAAAATAGAGGTCTTTGGCCACCCAAACCAGCGGTGGTTTGGCTTCGAAAGACGGATGCACGTGCAGAAAAGTACCTCATACCTACTGTAAAATATGGTGGTGGATCTTTGATGTTATGGGGCTATTTTGCTTCCACTGATCCTGGTGCTCTTGTTAAGGTCAACAGCTTCATGAACTCTATCAAATACCAGGACATTTTACCCCAAAACCTGCCAGGAGGATGACATTTTGCCACAAGTGGATCTTCCAGCAAGACAATGACCCCAAGCACACATCAAAATCCAAAAAGGAATGGTTAATTGACCACAAAATAAACATTTTGCAATGGCCATCTCCATCTACAGACTTGAACCCCATTGAAAACCTTTAGAAAATTGAAGAGGGCAGTCCATAAGCGCATACCAAAGGATATCAAGCATCTGGAAAGATTATGTATGGAGGAATGGTCTAATATGTTCTCCAATCTCATAAAACATTATAGAGAAAGGCTCAGTGCTGTTATCGTAGCAAGGGGAGGGTTGAAAACGGGTGAAAACCATTTTGACACCTATCTTTTAGAGAAACAAAAAGGTACCTTGTTAACTAACATATCTTTCTCGGAGCAATTCTATTAGTATAAAATAATAAACTTTTTTGTAGCATACAATATAGCTCAGTATTTGTATTATTTATGTCATACAGTATATTTTTCTCATCTTTATCAATGGTGCCAATAATTACTGTATAAGACAAAAAAAATTTAAACTATTTCCCCATGTGTAAACTCTGTGAACTATGTGAACGGTGCTGTATAGAGAAAGTATATTGCAGTACAACAACTGACATTTAACATTTTATTTTGAATTCAGCTAGCCACACATTTTTTTATCCAATATTACATACAATACGATAAGCAACAGATGCGAAAGTCCTTTAGTGTGTAGTGAATTTTCCCATGAAGCAAGTGCAGGGTGTGAGTAATGAATGATATATTACATACATCAACTATACTCACATACGAACATTTTATCCTACAAATAACACATTTAAACACACCTGTGTCAAACACAAATTCACAAATATAAAATCAAATAATTATAAGGGTTTAACTACAATATTATTACATGGAACTCCAATATGACCTCTGTCTCTAGAATATCCCCTTAACTAGTTTCCTCTGCCTTACACCCAGTCTGTATGATTTTGGGGACATGGTTACACCAAACACAGGGGTGTAGTCAGGTTCCCCTGCCTCCTCAGGCTAGACAAACTTGAAGCGTCGCAGCAGAGTGAGAATGCTATTCACTGACTACAGCTCAGCGTTCAACACCATAGTGCCCTCAAAGCTCATAACTAAGCTAAGGACCCTAGGACTAAACACCTCCCTCTGCAACTGGATCCTGGACTTCCTGACGGGCCACCCCCAGGTGGTAAGGGTAGGTAACAACACATCTGCCACGCTGATCCTCAACACGGGGGCCCCTCAGGGGTGCGTGCTCAGTCCCCTCCTGTACTCCCTGTTCACCCATGACTGCATGGCCAGGCATGACTCCAACACCATCATTAAGTTTGCCGACGACACAACAGTGGTAGGCCTGATTACCGACAACGATGAGACAGCCTATATGGAGGAGGTCAGAGACCTGGCCGTGTGGTGTCAGGATAACAACCTCTCCCTCAACGTGATCAAAACAAAGGAGATGATTTTGGACTACAGGAAAAAAAAGAGGACTGAGCATGCCCCCATTCTCATCGACGGGGTGTATTGGAACAGGTTGAGAGCTTCAAGTTCCTTGGTGTCCACATCACCAACAAACTATCATGGTCCAAACACACCAAGACAGTCGTGAAGAGGGCACGACAAAGCCTATTCCCCCTCAGGAGATTGAAAAGATTTGGCATGGGTCCTCAGATCCTCAAAAAGTTATACAGCTGCACCATCGAGAGCATCCTGACTGGTTGCATCACCGCCTGGTATTACATTTACATATTAGTCATTTAGCAGACGCTCTTATCCAGAGCGACTTACAGTTAGTGAGTGCATAATTTATTGTTTTATTTATTTTTTTCATACTGGCCCCCCGTGGGAATCGAACCCACAACCCAGGCGTTGCAAACGCCATGCTCTACCAACTGAGCTACATCCCTGCCAGCCATTCCCTCCCCTACCCTGGGCCAATTGTGCGCGGCCCCATGGGTCTCCCGGTCGCGGCCGGCTACGACAGAGCCTGGATGGTATGGCAACTGCTCGGCCTCCGACCGCAAGGCACTACAGAGGGTAGTGCGTACGGCCCAGTACATCACTGGGGCCAAGCTTCCTGCCATCCAGGACCTCTATACCAGGCGGTGTCAGAGGAAGGCCCTAAAAATTATCAAAGACTCCAGCCACCCTAGCTTCTTAACAGCTTCTACCCCCAAGCCATTAGACTCCTGAACAGCTAATCATAGCTACCCGGACTATTTGCATTGCCCCCTCACCCCACCCCACCCCATCCCATCCATCTCTTTACATCTCTTTTACGCTGCTGCTACTCTGCAGCGTAAAAGTGGTCCTCTGTAGCTCAGCTGGTAGAGCACGGCGCTTGTAACGCCAAGGTAGTGGGTTCGATCCCCGGACCACCCATACACAAAAATGTATGCACGCATGACTGTAAGTCGCTTTGGATAAAAGCGTCTGCTAAATGGCATATTATATATATATTATTATTTATGCATAGTCACTTTAACTCTACCCACATGTACATATTACCTCAATTACCTCAACTAACCGGTGCCCCCGCACATTGACTCTGTACCGGTACCTCCTGTATATAGCCTCCCTACAGTTATCTTATTTTACTTCTGCTCTTTAATTATTTGCTATTTTTAATTTTTTACTTATCAATTTTTTACTTAACAATGTATTTTATTTATTTATTATTAATATTGTAATTGTATTATATATATATATATATATATATATATATATATATATATACAGTTGGGAGAACAAGTATTTGATACACTGCCGATTTTGCAGGTTTTCCTACTTACAAAGCATGTAGAGGTCTGTCATTTTTATCATAGGTACACTTCAACTGTGAGCGACGGAATCTAAAACAAAAATCCAGAAAATCACATTGTATGATTTTTAAGTAATTAATTTGCATTTTATTGCATGACATAAGTATTTGATCACCTACCAACCAGTAAGAATTCCGGCTCTCACAGACCTGTTAGTTTTTCTTTAAGAAGCCCTCCTGTTCTCCACTCATTACCTGTATTAACTGCACCTGTTTGAACTCGTTACCTGTATAAAAGACACCTGTCCACACACTCAATCAAACAGACTCCAACCTCTCCACAATGGCCAAGACCAGAGAGCTATGTAAGGACATCAGGGATACAATTGTAGACCTGCACAAGGCTGGGATGGGCTACAGGACAATAGGCAAGCAGCTTGGTGAGAAGGCAACAACTGTTGGCGCAATTATTAGAAAATGGAAGAAGTTCAAGATGACGGTCAATCACCCTCGGTCTGGGGCTCCATGCAAGATCTCACCTCGTGGGGCATCAATGATCATGAGGAAGGTGAGGGATCAGCCCAGAACTACACGGCAGGACCTGGTCAATGACCTGAAGAGAGCTGGGACCACAGTCTCAAAGAAAACCATTAGTATCACACTACGCCGTCATGGATTAAAATCCTGCAGCGCACGCAAAGTCCCCCTGCTCAAGCCAGCGCATGTCCAGGCCCGTCTAAAGTTTGCCAATGACCATATGGATGATCCAGAGGAGGAATGGGAGAAGGTAATGTGGTCTGATGAGACAAAAATAGAGCTTTTTGGTCTAAACTCCACTCGCCGTGTTTGGAGGAAGAAGAAGGATGAGTACAACCCCAAGAACACCATCCCAACCGTGAAGCATGGAGGTGGAAACATCATTCTTTGGGGATGCTTTTCTGCAAAGGGGACAGGACGACTGCACCGTATTGAGGGGAGGATGGATGGGGCCATGTATCGCGAGATCTTGGCCAACAACCTCCTTCCCTCAGTAAGAGCATTGAAGATGGGTCGTGGCTGGGTCTTCCAGCATGACAACGACCCGAAACACACAGCCAGGGCAACTAAGGAGTGGCTCCGTAAGAAGCATCTCAAGGTCCTGGAGTGGCCTAGCCAGTCTCCAGACCTGAACCCAATAGAAAATCTTTGGAGGGAGCTGAAAGTCCGTATTGCCCAGCGACAGCCCCGAAACCTGAAGGATCTGGAGAAGGTCTGTAAGGAGGAGTGGGCCAAAATCCCTGCTGCAGTGTGTGCAAACCTGGTCAAGACCTACAGGAAACGTATGATCTCTGTAATTGCAAACAAAGGTTTCTGTACCAAATATTAAGTTCTGCTTTTCTGATGTATCAAATACTTATGTCATGCAATAAAATGCAAATGAATTACTTAAAAATCATACAATGTTATTTTCTGGATTTTTGTTTTAGATTCCGTCTCTCACAGTTGAAGTGTACCTATGATAAAAATTACAGACATCTACATGCTTTGTAAGTAGGAAAACCTGCAAAATCGGCAGTGTATCAAATACTTGTTCTCCCCACTGTATATATTAACTGCATTGTTGGTTAAGGGCTTGTAAGTAAGTACATGAATTGCAATTGATTAAGCATTTCTCAAACTGTAAAATCCTAAAGATTTAGCCTAAGCATATCCTCGAAAAATGTATTATATTATTTGACTGTAAAATTAAATTAGTTAGGGCATGTAGAAAATAGAACTGTCCGTAAAAAAGGACACATTTGCAGTCTAATCCATAATAAACAAAATTTAATGATCTTGTGATTTAGTAGATGTTTAATATTGCGAAATGCTTTACTAGCAACAGTTGACTTTCTTGTCAAGTACATCGATTACAATTTACAGTGTACGCTTTTCAAAGTATCTCATGTTTTGCAGATGGCCCCTTGGCTTCACAACCCAAACCATCCCAGCATACCTCGCGTGTCCAACGGCTTCGGACCGTATGCTCGTTGAAATATTTTGAAGGCCTGTTTTTTGGGGATTATTAGGTCAAGAATCTGGACCGGACCATATCGGATTTTCCTACCATTAGTACCATGCAAAGCATTTTATATAGCTAAATCTCACTTTAGCACAGCACGGCGAATGAAAAGGGGTTTCTAGCTAGCAAGTGAGTTCGGGGGCGGGGAGCCGGCTAACTACTGTACGGATCCGAACAATAATTCCTAATCAGATGGAGCTGGAGTCGGGAAGAACTGAATTTGGAGCCATGGGAGAGTCGCTTCAACCTCAAACCCCAAGTCGACACGAGAAGAGTCTAGGATTGCTTACAACCAAATTTGTATCTTTGCTGCAAGAGGCCAAGGATGGAGTTCTAGACCTGAAAGCAGTAAGCATGCCATGCCTTACTCTTTGTTTTTGGCACGCGGATGTAAATTTAGCTTGTGGCTAGCTAACGTTAGGTAGTAGCAATTAGCATTCAAGGTTTTCGCAAGCTAGCGTTAACCGTCCAGCACATCAGCGTGATACGTTGGGGTCAAGTGTTTTTGTCTATTTATGTGTTTGAATAGTTCAATTAACTAGTTAGCTACAATTTGCCCGTCCACTGAATTTAGGAAAAGTTGGCTAGCCAGTTGCCAAGTAACGTTACCTCAACTCCTCTATTGAGGTCATACAGTCATTGGTTGAGGTACTAGGCAGCAAGCTAGCCAGCTAACTTTTTCTATTCTGCCCCCTGCAGACTCAATGAAGACAAGCAAGCAAGGCTGCACAATGTTGTTATGAACTGGATCTGGCAAAACAGTTAAAACCCAACCCGGTTTCAGAGTCACACACCCTTTTATGTAGCTAGAAATTAAATAAATCGGATAGTCACCATTATCATTGGTTAAATTATGCTGACAATATGTTAGGTTTTGTTTAGGCTGGGCTTGACTGACCACAATGGAATAGATGTCATCCCATAGCAGCAATGAGGATTAACACATCATAGTTATCAGCACTAGCCATATGTTTATTGATGTAAGTGCTTGTTGAACACTCAGCTATGTGTAACTTTGAAGCTGAATAGCTAAGCTTCCTTGACATTAGTCTACCAAGCTATTTGTTTTAAACTGTGGAATTGTTCAATGGACCCCCAAACTGCTCTACACTGATGTATGAATAACATTGACCACTCTTTCTCTCCCACAGGCAGCAGACACCCTAGCTGTAAGACAGAAGCGGCGCATCTACGACATCACCAATGTGCTCGAGGGCATCGGACTGATCGAGAAGAAGTCCAAGAACAGTATTCAGTGGAAGTAAGTCAAGGACATGAGAAGGAACATGGCATTATGGGCTCCGTTAGTAAATCTTGGGTGGCACCCTATCGCCATTCAGAAACTACCAGTGTGCGAGCTGTCTTATGTAAGTGAAAGCAGATAAGGAGAGGTGTCTTAACTGTTTTCCTATCAATGCCTTGCCCTTGACTGTCGTCTTAATTTATGTGTGTGTTATCCAGAGTCATATATTTAGAGAGTTGGGCCAATGGGGTTTCTGTCTGAACGTTCCAAGAGCGCCACTTTCTCCTCCATAGCCATTGCTAAGTGATAACACTTCTGTGTTGTGCTCTCTATTTCTGATTATAGTTTTCAAAACCTATAAACATTTCCAGTGAAAGTAGATATGCAATTTGTTGATACCACAACACTGTACAGACATATTTGCTGCTGTGTTTTGCGTGTTTATAGCGGGTCATTTTATAGGGAGTTGTCGGAGGCACTCTCGCATTGTTCCATTACCAAAATATCGAGAATAAAGGTGCTAACATGGCCAAACTGTTTTAATGTCTCTGGGCCTATCTCTTTGTGATACATGTTTCCTGTCCCCAGGGGTGTTGGTCCTGGCTGTAACACACAGGAGATAGCCGATAAGCTCATTGATCTGAAGGCAGAGCTGGATGATCTGGACAAGAGGGAGCAGGAGTTGGATCAGCAGAGGGTCTGGGTCCAGCAGAGCATCAAGAACGTGACAGACGACTCACACAACAGCCCATATCCTTCACTACAATCCCTCTAAACTTAGCAGATCTAGTGTGTTAGTTACTAGATATTGGTTATGGTGCACCCCATGACCCCAAGATGGTTTAGATGGTAGTGATCAGATTTTTTAGCTCAATGCTTAGCTCTTAAATTCATGTTGTAGTAGTAAATAAACTCTTGGCCCTTAACACAAGCACACACTGGCTTATGTAAAACACGAAGACCTTTGCAGTGCGTTCAAAGGTAAGTTTCTCTCATATATTTTTCTGTGTGTTTTTCTTTCCCTTTTGATTGTTCTACCTCCTTTTGTTTTTTTCCCCTCCCACTCACCCCGTCTCTGTTTGGCCTCCACAGGTGACACTCTCCTAGCGATCCGCGCTCCCACAGGCACACAACTGGAGGTGCCCATACCTGAGTCGGTAAGTGTTTGTACTGTAAGACCCAACTACTTTCCCCTTTCTGTCTCACCATCCTCAGACCAGGGGTCTCCAACTTGGATTCTGGCGAGCTGCTGGTTGTGCATTGCCTGACGACTCACCCTGAACTTAATTCCTCTTCTCTATCGATCGCTACATACATTCAGTCTGAATCTGCCATCCTAGAAGTCATTTGTGTGACTTCAAAATGAGGGGCGTTGTACAAAATAAATTAATCAGCGATTGGATCGTCTCCAACAAATCTAACCAATCAGAATATCAAAGTTGATAAGGTCATTATGTAGGCTGGCTCTGGCCCTACCCTTCGATATCTGAACGGTCAGAATGTGTTTGCATTTTAGAAATCGTAGGGTGAGGGAGGCAAATCTATACTCATCGTGGAGAAGAACTTCAGTTTGGCTGGAGCGATGTGGATGGGTAGCCAGCCAAGGTTGTGCAGACTTCTGTTCCAGCCTAGCACTAATACTCCTTTTAAAAATAGTAAACTAATCGCAATCTGGACAACGATTTATACAATTATATGAATCAAGTGTGTCAGTACTGGGGTGAAACAAAGGCCTACACGCAGCAGCTCTACAGAATCTGAGTTGGACTTCCCTGTGCCACTACCGTCTGACTGAGTGATTGTTGGCAGGTACTGAATGGACAGAAGAAGTATCAGATCCGTCTCAAGAGCTCAGCAGGACCCATTGAGGTTCTCCTAGTGAACAAGGACCCGTCCAGCCCGTCTCCAGTGGTACTGTCCGTCCCACCACCAGAGGACATGCTCCAGAGCCTGCCAGTGCCTGCTACTGCTGCCAACCCAAAACCGGCACCTGCTGCCCCCTGCCAGCCTCTGGCCCACTCCTCCAACCCCAGTCCTGCCACAGTCTCACCTGCCTGCACAGCTACTACCAACCAGGCAGTCACCACCGCAGGTACGATTTGGTCTTTATCTGAGCAATGTAGTTATTACGTGTGTGTGGTGTTGGAGTGAAATTGCAGCAAAAAATGTAATTCTCATATCACCATCCTTCTTTTAAAGTGTCCAGCAACAACACCAGCACACTGACTGTTTCCACACCCACTACAAACATAACTGCCCAACTGACTCCCCTGTTGGACACCCAGCCTCTCCTGTCCTCTGCCTCATTGGATGGCTGCTCTTCCTCTTCTTCAGCAGTCTTTGAGCCAATCAAGACCGACCCCTCAGAATGTAAGTGTCATCTGCCGTTTCCCTAAGATCATGATGCTTCTCTATCCTGCTAAACATTCATACAAGGGGGATACACATACTAAATATACGTCAGAGTCAAGGTTTATTTAGTGTGTGCACTCTTTGTATCAATCGTTTTTGGGAGTTGTTGAGTGAGTGACTAATGTTTTCTGTGTTCTATTTGTAGTGCTGTATTTCCCCAAAGAACTTTCTGACATGTTTGACCCGACTAAAGGTAAAGATCACCTCAACATATTATGAAATCTATGGAAGGAGTTGGCAAGTATAACCACTGTATGAACATGCTATTGCAGATTATATCAATGTATAGACAATAATTTGAGATTATAGATACCAGAATAGACATGTGCCTTTATTCTAACCCCTCATCCTCATTTCCCATATCTCTCCCTCTCTTTCACACCGTCTCTCTGAGTAGAGATCATGAGTGCAGACCTGTTGGAGGAGTTGATGTCTTCCGAGGGTAAGTTGACATTTATAAACTGGGTGGGTCGAGCCCTGAATGCTGACAGCCAAGGTATATCAGACCATGACTGGAACGAACTGCAAAAATCTCTGAAGCTGGAGACTCTTATCTCCCTCATTAACTTTAAGCATCAGTTGTCAGAGCACCTTACCGATCACTGCACATGTACAGAGCCCATCTGAAATTAGTCCACTCAACTACCTCATCCCCATATTGTTATTTATTTTGCTCATTTGCACCCCAGTATCTCTATTTGCACATCATCTCTTGCACATTTACATTTTAGTCATTTAGGAGACGCTCTTATCCAGAGCGACTTACAGTTAGTGAATACATATTATTATTATTATTTAATTTTTTTCATACTGGTCCCCCGTGGGAATCGAACCCACAACCCTGGCGTTGCAAACGCCATGCTCTATCAACTGAACTACATCCCTGCCGGCCATTCCCTCCCCTACCCTGGACAACGCTAGGCCAATTGTGCGCTGCCCATGAGTCTCCCGGTCGCGGCCGGCTGCGACAGAGCCTGGATTCGAACCAGGATCTCTAGTGGCACAGCTAGCACTGCGATGCAGTGCCTTAGACCACTGCGCCACTCAGGAGACCACATCTATCATTCCAGTGTTAATACTAATTATATTTTGCACTATGGCCTATTTATTGCCTTACCTCCATAACTTGCTACATTTGCACACACTGTATATATATTTTCTGTGGTATTTTTGACTTTATGTTTTGTTTTACCCCATATGTAACTCTGTGTTGTTGTTTTTATCGCACTGCTTTGCTTTATCTTGGCCAGGTCGCAGTTGTAAATGAGAACTTGTTCTCAACTGGCTTACCTGGTTAAATAAAGGTGAAATAAAATAAATATACCACTGGTATGACAAAACATTTATTTTTACTGCTCTAATTATGTTGGTAACCAGTTTATAATAGCAATAGGTACCTCAGGGGTTTGTGGTGTATGGTTAATATACCACGGCTAAGGGCTGTATCCAGGCACTCAGTGTTGCGTGGTGCATTGGAACAGCCCTTAGCCGTGGTATATTAGCCATATACCACACCTACTCGGCTCTTCTTGCTTAAGTATACAGTTCTGCTGATGTGGATTTGCGGATCAGCAAAGATTTACTTAACCTATCACAACTAAAAGAGATTGTCTTTTAATCTCTTTGTATGTCCCTCTCTCTTTCCTAGTGTTCTCTCCACTCCTCCGTCTGTCTCCCCCTCCGGGTGACCACGACTACATATATAACCTGGACGAAACCGAAGGCCTGTGTGACCTCTTTGATGTCCCTATCCTTAACCTTTGACCTCTGAGCTGAGTTCCCAATAATGTATTATGTAAGGAAATCTAAAAAAACATTTTTACCATTTTCTATGGGAAAAAAACAAATGTGTGATTCTATTTTTGGATCCTGGTGTATTATAAGATGATTTTTCTGTGTAAACAATTAAGTGTTTTGATGTCGTACCCAAATATTTCCACTAAACATTGGCAGCAAATGTTTCAGGGCGTAGTGGCTCTAGGTTAGATAAAAAGGGGTATAAAGAAATATAGTCCTCACTGAACTGATGATCTCTCAGGTGAAATGCCTCGCATTCATGCTGATTTGTGATTAACTCTATTCCCTCCATCCATCTTTGTTTGAAATATGTATGTAACAAATTGGCAACAGCTGTCATCATCACACTCTGATCGTCATCAACTCAGTGTCAACAGATTCAGAGACACCCAGGCAGCTGCATACACTCGGACAGTACGCACAAATGGGTACATACACACAGCTGAAAATTATGCGCTGTCGTTCTGTATATAGAGAATATTTATATTTTTTATTAAGAGCCTTTGTGGAGTTGTGTGTAATACATTGAGACAGCAGTAGTGAACCAGGGTGCCAAACAAAGACATGAGAAAGTTGAAGTGTTTCAGATGTAGCGTGCATTGGATCAACTGCTACACGTTTATCATTCACTTTGGTCCCCTTGCCTTGTTTTGTCACTGTTTTATTTCTCACCCATTTCATTCACTTTACAACATTGTCTGTGGCATTCTTGTTTTGTCTTGCAATTATTATGTATATGAATATTATTTTATTCAGTCTGTATGTAAAAGGACATTTATTTTTCTTTACAGATACAGTAATTAGTTCCTAATGAAGTAGGTTAGCGCTTTGAGTGCTGGTCTATAGTCTGTATATGTTGCTCTGATACGTGTTCAATAGAAAAAGGTCCCCCACATGCTTTCACCATGACTATGGAAACACAAATGTTGACTTCGTTCTTTCTGTGTGAGAGAATATTTGTTTAAAATTTCCTTCTGTGTTCATTCATGTTTTCATTCGTTCCCAGAAGATATTGTTTCCCTTTTATTAAAGAAGAGCATTTTTTATATATACACTATATATACAGTACCAGTCAAAAGTTTGGATACACCTACTCATTCAAGGTTTTTTCTTTATTTTTACTATTTTCTACATTGTATAATAATAGTGAAGACATCAAAACTATGAAATAACACATATGGAATCATGTAGTAACCAACATTTTTTTAACAAATCAAAATATATTTTAAGATTCTTCAAAGTAGCCACCCTTTGCCTTGATGACAGCTTTGCACACTCTTGGCATTCTCTCAACCAGCTTCGCCTGGAATGCTTTTCCAACAGTCTTGAAGGAGTTCCCACATATGCTGAGCACTTGTTGGCTGCTTTTCCTTCACTCTGCGGTCCGACTCATCCCAAACCATCTCAATTGGGTTGAGGTCGGGGGATTGTGGAGGCCAGGTCATCTGATGCAGCACTCCATCACTCTCCTTCTTGGTAAAATAGCCCTTACACAGCCGGGAGGTGTGTTGGGTCATTGTCCTATTGAAAAACAAATGATAGTCCCACTAAGCGCAAACCAGATGGGATGGCATATCGCTGCAGAATGCTGTGATAGCCATGCTGGTTAAGTGTGCCTTGAATTCTAAATAAATCACCAACAGTGTCACCAGCAAAGCACCATCACACCACCTCCTCCATGTTTCACGGTGGGAACCACACATGCAGAGATCATCCGTTCACCGTCTCACAAAGACACGGCAGTTGGAACAAAACATTTCAAATTTGGACTCATCAGACCAAAGGACAGATTTCCACCGGTCTAATGTCCATTGCTTGGGTTTCTTGGCCCAAGCAAGTCTCTTCTTATAATTGGTGTCCTTTGGTAGTGGTTTCTTTGCAGCAATTCGACCATGAAGGCCTGATTCACACAGTCTCCTCTGAACAGTTGATGTTGAGAGGTGTCTTACTTGAACTCTGAAGCATTTATTTGGGCTTGAAATTGTCTTAAAGTAACGATGGACTGTCGTTTCTCTTTGCTTATTTGAGCTGTTCTTTCCATAATATGGACAGAGGTCTTTTACCAAATAGGGCTATCTTCTGTATACCACCCCTACCATGTCACAACACAACTGATTGGCTCAAACTCATTAAGAAGGAAAGAAATTCCACAAATTAACTTTTAACAAGGCACACCTGTTAATTGAAATGCAATCCAGATGACTACCTCATGAAGCTGGTTGAGAGAATGCCAAGAGTGTGCAAAGCTGTCATCAAGGCAAAGGGTGGCTACTTTGAAGAATCTCAAATATAAAATATATTTTGATTTGTTTAACACTTTTTTGGTTACTACATGATTCCATATGTGTTATTTCATAGTTTTGATGTCTTCACTGTTACATGATTCCATATGTGTTATTTCATAGTTTTGATGTCTTCACTGAAAACAGTAAAAATAAAGAAAAACCCTTGATTGAGTATGCGTGTCCAAACTTTTGTCTGGTACTTGTATATACACTGCTCAAAAAAATAAAGGGAACCCTAAAATAACACATCCTAGATCTGAATGAATTAAATAATCTTATTAAATACTTTTTTCTTTACATAGTTGAATGTGCTGACAACAAAATCACACAAAAATGATCAATGGAAATCAAATTTATCAACCCATGGAGGTCTGGATTTGGAGTCACCCTCAAAATTAAAGTGGAAAACCACACTACAGGCTGATCCAACTTTGATGTAATGTCCTTAAAACAAGTCAAAATGAGGCTCAGTAGTGTGTGTGGCCTCCACGTGCCTGTATGACCTCCCTACAACGCCTGGGCTTGCTCCTGATGAGGTCTCCTGAGGGATCTCCTCCCAGACCTGGACTAAAGCATCTGCCATTTCCTGGACAAGCATCCACCAACGGGGCGTTGGTGGATGGAGCGAGACATGATGTCCCAGATGTGCTCAATTGGATTCAGGTCTGGGGAACGGGCGGGCCAGTCCATAGCATCAATGCCTTCCTCTTGCAGGAACTGCTGACACATGCACATTTGTGGCCTGCTGGAGGTCATTTTGCAGGGCTCTGGCAGTGCTCCTCCTTGCACAAAGGCGGAGGTAGCAGTCCTGCTGCTGGGTTGTTGCCCTCCTACGGCCTCCTCCACGTCTCCTGATGTACTGGCCTGTCTCCTGGTAGCGCCTCCATGCTCTGGACACTATGCTGACAGACACAGCAAACCTTCTTGCCACAGCTCGCATTGATGTGCCATCCTGGATGAGCTGCACTACCACTTGTGTGGGTTGTAGACTCCGTCTCATGCTACCACTAGAGTGAAAGCACCGCCAGCATTCAAAAGTGACCAAAACATCAGCCAGGAAGCATAGGAACTGAGAAGTGGTCTGTGGTCACCACCTGCAAAACCAGTCCTTTATTGGGGGTGTCTTGCTAATTGCCTATAATTTCCACTTGTTGTCTATTCCATTTGCACAACAGCATGTGAAATTTATTGTCAATCAGTGTTGCTTCCTAAGTGGACAGTTTGATTTCACAGAAGTGTGATTGACTTGAAGTTACATTGTGTTGTTTAAGTGTTCCCTTTATTTTTTTTAGCACCCCCTGAGTATACCAAACATTAAGAACATCTTCCTAATATTGAGTTGCACCCCCTGCTTTCGAAAGTGTTCCACAGGGATGATGGCCCATGTTGACTCCGAAGCTTCCCACAGTTGTCAAGTTGGCTGTATGTCCTGTGGGTGGTGGACCATTCTTGATACACACAGGAAACTGTTGAGCGTGAAAAACCAACCAGCGTTGCAGTTCTTGACACAAACCGGTGCGCCTGGCACCTACTTCCATACCCCTACACCAGGGTTTCCTAACAACGTGCTGAATTTGCCCCACAGGTGGCTTTAGAAAAAATTAATAAATAGTAGAATTTTCATTACTAGACATTAAAAAAAAAGTTGAACACTAGAAAATCAGCTCCAAGTGATTTTAATTTGGGAAATCTGTTCCCAAGTATTTCCACGCATAATAGACGCGTGATCATATACAAATGTAAGCAAGGTTTTAAATTATTATGTTTTAGTAAAATATTATATATGGGCTTCTTGCGGTCAATTTGCAGGCTACAAATTATTTGTAATTATGTTCCGGCCCCCTGACCATCCGCTCAAGAAAAAAATCGGCCCGCGGCTGAATCTAGTTGATGATCCGTGCCCTACACTGATTGAAGTGGATTTAACAAGTTACATCAGTAAGGGACCATAGCATTCACCTGGTCAGTCTATGTCATGGAAAGAGCAGGTGTTCTTAATGTTTGTATACTCAGTGTAAATCTGTCAGATATATTACTAATTTGGGGTTAAGGTGTATGAAATATATTGACAAAACTAGCATTTGTATCAGACTGCTCTCACATCATTGCACTTTACACCACTCAACCCGTTACGATTGCACCATCCGTCTGGGTTGGGTGGTGTTGCCAGTTCACTGAAGCCTTCATTGCCCAGGGAATTCAAGTTGAGTCTGCTTACATGTAACATTGGATGTGTTAAAATGCTCAGAGGATCTACAGTATCATTGCATTTGTAATAATAGGTTAATGATGACTAAACTGTTAAGTTACATCACACATGAAAGGAATAAAAATAAACCTTTTTGTATTCTTTGCATAAAGTTTGTGCTGTCCATTTCTGTTTTTGTCTTATCTTATTGTTGTTGGCAGAGAAGGCCAAAATGCAGGTAATGCAGTGTTAGAATTGACTATGGATCAAGAACCCCATATACAACTATGATGACTGCATGAATTGAATTGCAAAAAAACATGCGCATTGGCTGGTGCACAGCTCTGTGTAGGTAGGCTATCTAAAACCAAGATAATATAATCTGACAGACAATATTTATCAGACCAGATGCATATCATTTATGGATTAGTAGTAGCCTATATAATTGAAATAGCATATATCTTTGAATGTGGACAACTATCACCTCATTCCAATAAAAAATGCATTACATTTTTTAAATACTGAATGTGGGAAAAAATACGCACAATATTTGAGTGTATTCTAAACCCACCTGCATTCATTTTGAGCGCTCTATAGGCATTTCACTGAATTTCCCATTGAAATGCACATGCATTTACAGTAGACCTACTGCATGTTGCAATGTTGGAAAAGTTGGGACGGGTCTATTGTCTACAACAGGTAGCCTAGCGGTTAAGAGCATTGGGCCAGTAACTGAAAGTTCACTGGTTTCAATCCCCGAGCTGACTAGATGAAAAATCTTTGTGCCCTTGAGCATGGCACTTAACCCTAATTGCTCATGAAAGTCTCTCTGGATAAGAGCGTCTGCAAAATAACTAAAATGTAACAGGGATGGGCAACTCCAGTCCTTTGGGACATGATTGTCACACTTTTGCCCCAGCTAACACACCGGACTCCAATCATCAAGTAATCATGATCTTAAGTTTAGACTGCAATTAGTTTAATCAGCTGTGCTTGCTAGGGATGGGGGAAAAGTGTGACACCACTCCGGCCCCGAGGACTGGAGTTGCCCATCCCAGGTCTACACCAAAATGATTTGTATGTACACTAACTCTTTAGACCCCAATAGAATTATAGAATGCTGCTGTAGATTACTGAGAATGTTCACACATTTCAAACAAACAGACATAGCTCAAAAACTAAGAACAAATGACAATTACAAGTTAACTTAGTTGTAAAGAGCTCAACCATTTCTTTAATATGACACTACATTCATGTAAAAAGGAATGACACTACATTTGTCTTCCATTGTGTAAAGACAATCACTATCAAAAAACGGTTATCACTCAACACAACAAAAAACCCTAGAGTATTTAAATTGTAGTACATTTGACTAAATTACTCACTCAAAATGTACCAAGTAGATATATATTATTTACATATATAAAAAAATGTAATAATCCAAAATGTGACCAGAGTACAATATTCAGAAAGTACTTCAAAACCCACACAAAGTAGGCTATTTGATTGACAACGATTCTTACTTCTGTAACAATGTAAAAATGCAAACAACTATTCAGAGACTATTTCAAAATGTAGATAACTTCTCTCAATAAAATGTAATACA